ACTCCTTGCCTTTGGGAGGGAGAGGATAGGAACGGGGCAAGAAGTGCACGCTCAGCAGGTAGCTTGCTTGGGAACTGTGTACTTGCAAGTCCCTCTGCCCTGTGGGACTTGCTGAGCCCAGCCCAGGATGTGCCCTGGCATAGGGCTCCTTCCAGGTGCCGAGTTTTGAGCACAGGTGACCCTCTAGCAAAGCAATGAGGTTTGTGGACCCTCATTGGAAATAAAAACAAGGAAACCTTGTCTTTTAGGGAGGATGGTCTGCCCTGGAACAAGACTTCCTAACCATCATTTCTCTTTGGCACATCTTCAGAGCTCTGTGTTTAGCCCCCACTCGCAGCAACCAAGGTTAATACTGGCAAGCAAAGACATCCGTGATGTATTTGCAAAATGCCTATGGGCAGGCACTAGCTAATGAATCCAGAAAGAAAGATTTTTTTTCCGTAAATCTAAGCGAACCCTCGCTGAGGGCCCACAAAGCGGAATTGTGGTTCCCATTGCTTTGAGAGGTTGGAGGGAGGATCTATTTTTCACAACATGCAGACACCAGATATTGTACCCAGTTCAAAGGCGGTAACATAAATCTCGTTTTCCGCCGGGGTTGTTAACATAATCAAATATTCATTTATAGCACATATTGGCAAATAAAGGCCTGACATGCAGTAATTCACCCCCAGCGTGTTCCGTTTAATGTGATTATTCTTCAGAGTAATCAAGCCTCCTTTGCCTAAGCTGAACTCCTGATACGAGCCCGTGCACACCTGTGCTGGCTGCTGATTTCCCGGGGAGCTGCGCCTCCAAGGGAGCACATGAATTGGGGAGCACAGCCGGATGAGCCCTGTGGTAAATCTGCCAGCCACACTCCCCTGCTAAGCACCCAGCCCTGAAAACCTGCCTTTTGGCGACGTTTGCCCTGTGTTTGTTTCCTTTCAGGATCAAAGAAGCTCATGAAGATTTAGCTGCTGTTTCCAGGCAGGTGTCTCTTTCCCTATCCATGATCCTGGCTTTGCTCATCTCTTGTGCCACGTCGGCCCTCTTCCTCTCCCATTTCCCCCCCACAGGCAAAGGGTCATGTTGCCAGCTGCACAGAAGCAAGCTTGTGACTATGAGACATTTTTCGTTAGTCAGCAACACGCATCTCAAGTTTCACACTGGCCAAAGCAATGAGTCCCAGCCTCTAAATATTTACAGGGGAGGCAGGAAATGAGGGCAAAATCCAGCTGAACAGACAGTTTGCTAGAGAAAGGGGGGGGTGGGTTTGTAGGGAGGTCTTGGAGCTGTGCAGGGGGTGCTGAGGAGAGCTGGGAGCCAAATGGTGTCTGTGAGGTCCTGCAGGACCAGGAGGCCTGATCCTGCCAGGGGTGCAGGCTGCCAGCTCTCCTCACGCTGGTGAATAACGCACCTCAAAGCACTCAGCAAGGGGCCCAGCCCCGCACCTGCTCTTCTGCAGCCTCCCAGGCTTGTGGAGACGCAGCACGGATGGGTAAGCAATGCCCTCAGTGTCCCAGGGACTGGTAATTGCATTTGCATTCTTGGCTTGCTGGTCACCTCAGTGAGCACAGCTCGACCATGGATTCCTCAGCAGTTGCAGGATCGATGCCATATGTGTTTCTGTAGCTTAGTATTTTGTAGTTTGTTGCTGGCTTGCCATAATGCAGGAATCCTCTGGCTGTGCTCTCCAGTGACACTGTCCCAAGTCAAATGGTCGTGGAAGGTGCTGGAGCAGGTTAGGTCAGGCTGATGCTTGGACTTGATGATCTTGAAGGTCTTTTCCAACCTAAACGATTCTCTGGCTCTCAGCAGGGCACAACAGTCACCACGGATCTGTGCGAGTGATTGACTGGGCTGGCAGCATTTCTAGCTTGTTTAAATGGTGGACAACATGTTGTGTTCAGCGTCATTTCCTACCAGGTTGGTCTCCATCTCTCTGTATTTTCCTCAGAGACAATCTGACCTGTCTGCAGTTTGGAGGCTACAGCCAGAGCTGGGATCAGTGTCCTGCTGCCAGCACCAGGTGCCTGAGTCCCTGTCTCCTTGCAGGGTCAAGAGGCCTGCCTGGAGAATGGCAATGCATCCAGTCCAAGCTTATCCTGATCATCCCTGCCAGCGTATTTCCCATGCTCTTTTTGCAAGACATTCAGTGATCAAGCCACTGTAAAACATGCATATCATATAAAGCGATTTAAATGACTTAAAATGTGAAAAATGTGTAAATTACTTTTCCAGCTTCTGTTTAAGGACTTGTCTGAATGAATACCCTGACATGCATAAATATGGAGGAATAATGTCTGCAAATCCAACCCTATTTCTAACGTCTTTCAATGCAAAATTTTAACTTCCCTCAAAGGCAGCCCAAGGTCCAAGGGAGCAGTGAGGCAGTTCGTTGGAAATGACTTGGCAGAGAAGGTGGGAATGTAGCAGGAAGACCTGAAATACCAAAACGTAAATTACAGAGAGGAAGCTTGGGCTGATGTACACCGGGAGCTTCACAGTGCTTCGGGAGGACCTACTACTCCTATCCTATGTGTCATTCGCTGTGGGTGAAGGTGGTTTTGCCTTTCTGGATAATGATGAAGGATCCACTCTGAGCTACAGGGCTGGATATCTGGTGAGCTTAGTGTGGATGAGTGGGAAGGGGGTGAATAATCTGTGTATTTATGCTCTTCTCCATGCTACTTCTCTCTTGAGGCTTTCAGCACTGACCAGTGAACTGCGTCAAACATTCCCTTGTCATCACTTTATTCAGTGGGACTGTAGGCTGTTTGACAGTCATCTCGTTCTGTCCCATGTCTTAGATGTGCTCATGCCTCTCACCCAAGAAGGTGTGAAGGAGGCACTAATTTAGGAGACTTAACCTCCTCAGTGTTCAGGGCTTGTTCCCTGGGGGTTTGCAGGACAATCATGGAGAGCACTCGACCGATTCCAACCTCAGCTGGCTGCTGAAGCCACAGCACCCAAGACGCTACAGCACGGCCAACACCACTGTTGGACCTTGTCTGATGCAAGACCTCTACCCTGCAACCCTCACTGAGCTGCAAAGCAAGAAGTCTGTGCCAGGCACTGACAGCTCTCTTGTTCTAGCCCTTGGACTTGCTGTCTCCTGAGTTTTGGCTTCCAGCACAGCCTGAATTTTCTCCTGAGCAGACCTCATGTCTCTGTCTTGAGTTTATCCAGCTGTTATCAACATATGTGCTTCCTTGGTGACTCATGCCCCGTTCCCTAACCACATCCCCTTCTCTCTAATGCCCCCACCCACCACAACTGAGTCACTTGGCCTCCCGTGACAAGCCAGGAACCCCTTCCTTCAGTCATGCGTGTAGAAACTTCGAGCTGAGTCCAACGTAAGCACCTCTGGACTTCCTTTTTCCAAGCAGGCTACAGAGCAAGATCTCACTGGCTGTTAACAGGCTGGTCCTGACCTGCCTACATTCAGTGTGCAGGACCTAGACCAAACCTATACCCAGACTCTTTTGCTCCCTGTGCATGCAAAGGGAACACTTTAGAGCAGTGTTGTCCTCCCTACTGCTCTTCAGTTCCCCAGAAGGACCAGTCCATCCCTAACTGATGTGGTAAGCAGAGGTTGCTCAACAGTCTGGGCTGGTGAGGCAGAAGTAGGAGGCTCAGTGGAGGTGGGAGCTGAGAAAAGGTCATTGTGCAGCCCTAGTCTTCCTGATCCCAAACCCTTTCCCATCTTTTGACTCTTCAGTAGCTCACGGGAGGTGATTTTATGGTTTTATCCCAGGGCCCAGTAGCTGAAGAGCAGCTCAGTGTGATTGCCACCGAACCCGGTCTTTTACAAGCTTCACTTCCCAAGCGACGTGTTTATGCACCGTATGAAACACAGCCACTGTCAGCTCGCTTTGAAGGTCTGCCACACAGCCAGAAGGGTTTGGATGTGTGGTTAACAAGCCAGACCGAGCTGGTATTCAAGCTGAGTGTATATTGGTAGCTATTTTCCCTAATGCTTCCTGTTTATGGTCAGTAGCTCCATCTATCATATTAAGCTTTTGTTAGACGTTTTCTTTGTCAATGGGCAAACACACAGGGTTTTAATCACCATCCTCTCTTTATGCCAAAGACTGTTCATTTCTAACCTAAAGTAACTCATTCGGGGCTGTGATTTTTATGGAGTGCAAATTTAGTGGGAGAGGAGCTGTATTCTTCATTTTTTCCCTGTAGATCTGAAACATTACCTGGCTTCTTTCCCAGTGTCATCATCTTCAATTAAAGCACATTTTCATCTGCTCGTGGAAGACATTTTAGCACAAGGGGAACACTGCAAATTGAGGTGTGTATTTCCTTTTGCACACTGATGAGAGAGTTGCTGTTGGGCACCTTAATTTAGGGCTATCTCTATCCCTCACTGCTACGTAAGATAAGATTTTGGTGCAGTGTCTCATCTTCACAGGACCTTTGTGAAGCAATGCAGTGTAACTTTGAAGGCTGGGAGGGGTACAGACAAGGTAAAAACATAAATTTGTCTCTATAGGAAGGTAATGGTATAAAATCAGGTATAAATCCTAGGAGGTATTTTAGAGATGTGTGGACAAGGGGTATGGTTTAGTGATGAGGCTTAGCAGGTCATGTTGATGGTTGGACTTGGTGATCATGAAGGTGTTTTCCAACCCAGGTGATTCTGTGATTCTATTTTTACATGGGCATCACAGCTCCTGGGTGACTGTCCTTGGTTTGGGGTAAGGTGTACTGGCAAAAAACAACCCGCAGAGCCTTTCCTTGGAGGAGAAATACAGCGTAGGTGCATTTCGGGGCTGCGGAAAGCTGGGTGAAATGCTAGACCTTCTGCTTTAGTCATCTGGAGTGAGCAGACTGGGCCATGCCGACCCTGAGGTCAGACACGGTGGAGGAGGAAGATGGATATCTTGTTGGCCATGATACCGATGACTACAATGTAATAATATTCCCCCCCTAACATCCCACCAAAATCTTTCAGACAAACTTGGACGCAACTTTGGATGTTTCTCATAAAATCAGTTGTGTTTTTTCTGCGTGGCAGCAGGTGAGGTGGGCTGGCTCTGTGTGCCTGTGCCCTCCCTTGAGTGATGCAGAGCTTCTTTCAGGGAGCTGTGGCAGGACAGGGAGCTGGACCCCAGTGTCCCACCATGTCCCTGTGTGCTGGGAGCACTGGTCAGGAGCACCAACATGGACTCAGGACCAAGGTGAACTCTATCCTGTCCCAGATTTACGCCAGAAGAAGATCCTCCTGCTGTAAACACCTTCCTGCTGAGAGACCCAGGCTAATTACCATGTTGCTGCCCTCCTTTGTTCTCTCATTTTCTCTTTCTGACTCCCCTGCTGCTTCGAACATGCTTGTGAGCTCCCTTTCTGGCAGCCTGTGGGTCTGACTTCTCCCTCGGACTGGAAGGGCTTTCCAGATGTGTGCACAAGATGTAAGTACCACCTCAACACTACCACAAAACATTTCTTCATGCAGAAAAGGAAAGCAGAAATCCAGCATTTTGGTTTCCTGCTGGAGGAAGATAGTGCTGTATCCCTCCCAAAGGCAGTTGTTCAGCTCCAGAAACTATTTAGGATGACATAGGAGTGGGATGTTCCAAAATTCTTGGAGACTTGATGGAAATGCAGTTGTGGGAAACCAATCATTGCTCAGAAATGTCTTTTGTTTTACTGGTGATATTTTTTCCTCTCTCCCCTCAGCTTGCCTTATATAATTATAAGGGTGGTGAAAGCTCAAAAGGCAAGGCTTGATTGCAGCAATTAACTTCCCCAGACACAGATGCTGAATGATTGTGAGCTTGGGCCTGTCTCTTGGCTGCTGCAGGCTACTGGAGTGATTGCTGGCATTCAGGAGTGAACCTCGCTGCCCATCCCAGAGTGTAGGGAGGGATGCTAGAGCCCCATTACCAGCAGGGGACAGATAGGATCACCAAGATCTGCTAATTGCCCAGGTCACCTCAGCACTTTATGGTGTTTAGAGACCCAGCTCCCCTTGGTTTCAAAGTGATTGAGTTGCTTGTGATTCGCCTCAATGTTTTCTCACTTTGACCAGAAGCAGTCAGTAGGGTAAAAGGTAAAGACAAGTTTCCCCTCTTTTGTGCTAGGGACCTGAGCACAGTCTCAATGCCAGCTAGGATCTATGGAGAGCTTTCTTTGGAGAGCAGAGGAAAGATCGACAAAGTCTGTCCGTGCCACATCGGATCTGGGAGCAGTGGTGGAGGTTTACAGCTGAGGAATTACCAGCAATATGCAGCAGCAGTGGAGGGATTCACGGAGGGTTTGGGCAGAGCAGGTCTGCTAGGAAAGCCAGAAATGCTGCAGTGCACGTGTGGCTGGAGGAAGCAGAGAGAAATTGTTTGTGGGAACAACGCTTGCAGGCTAGATCTGGGGATTTTGCAGCAGGGAACTTCCAGCTGATCTTCTGCTGAATGCAATTGCACGAGCAGTTTCTCTATAAAAAAAGAAAACTGGTGAGAAGAGTCCTGCCTGATGCTTTGCAGACCAACTTGGCAAGACCTGGGTTTCTCCTGAGTAACAGGACATCACCAGGCTCTGTTCTTACCCAGGATTGCCTTGGGTGCCAGCAGTGGGAGTCTAAATATTTTGAGGTGCTTTCCTACAGGTACACTGGGCAGGCCGGGCTTGCTCAGCTTCCAGGATCAGGGCACTGAATTCATCGTGGCTGAGGGCCTCAGCTAAATTGGGGCAATTTTCTTCTCCTTGGGTTTTGAAGCACCACGCTTCAGCCTTTGCATAAATAATGTAAATTAAGGGGAGGAGGAGGATAGTGCTTTGGGGAGGGCAGCAGCAAGTAGCAAATTTGTGTGGCTCCTCGCAGCCAGGAGGGTGATGTGGCTTACATCAGCTCCAGATTTATGAACCTTTGTCATTGTTTCTGTTTGCAAACCAGATCCAGTTTTTTAAGCTGGGTTTTTCCATCCCCTCCAGCTTTCAGCTTCTGTCCATCAAATACTCGGGCCACTCCGATCCCTCTCCCAGCTGCAGGTCTGTTTGGGCACTCAACGGTGAGCTCTGTTGCAGGAAAAAGCATGGTGCTCAGCCACAGACAGGCTGTGCTGTGCTTGGGGCAGTACTGTGTCTGGGAGGCTCTTTCCTTGCCAGGGTAGCAGGATCATTCACTCTACCTGCATTTATTACAGACCCTTAGCTGGTTAGGTGACACCAGTCCAGTGACACCTCCTGGGGACATTTCCATGGCACGTGTCCTGTACAAGCATCCAGCAGCGGGAGCTCCCCATGGCCAGGATGCTCAGAGATACGTCAGAACTGCTTTCTTCCCCTTCTCCCTCGGGGCTGTGAGTTCTTGCTGAGGCTGTGAGGAGCACAACGGGATGCCCCCGCCCTGCCTTTTTCCCTGCATCAGGACTTTGTGCATGCAGAAGCAACTGCTTGCCAGCTTTCTGCATCCCAGGGCCCCCGTACAAAGCTCCCTTTCACCTTGGAGCATCCGGAAAACATAATGGGGCAGCAATTACTGGGGCGGGTGCAAACTCAGCTCTGGGAGATACATGGCGGGGAGCCAATTATTGTTAATTAGGCATGTTGCTGTTGGCTAGCCTGGGCTTTTGCTGCTGTGCAGGAATGTGTTTGCACCAGGGGAGCTTTGTGGCTGGCTGAGCTGCTGCTGGGAGTCAGAGTTCAGGCATGCTTGGCCAGAAAGGCTCCATCCAAAACCTCACGTGGGGTGGATTTCAAACCATTCTTACCCTTCTTGCTTTCTTCAAGAAGGAGATGAGGCACCAGCCAGGGCAGCCAGCAACTCTGCAGCCTGGAGGTGATGGAAACGCAGCTGGAGGTGCCTGACCACTGCAGCGGACGTGTGCTGAGATCCTCCTGGACAGAAACATCGTACAGCTGTCCTGCAATCTCTGCTGGACCCAAAATAGTCTGCTTTGTGGTTTCCCTGCCCTGTAGTTTCTGCACAGAGCAATCGGACTGACACGGTAAAATGAGGAGAGGTCTTCTAAACCATCAGAACAATGTGTCTTCTGCTTTGGCTCCGGTTTTGCACAAAGCTGGGTATCCAACCTGCTATTTATTTCAAATGGCTGCTGAGCTTTGACAAGGACAGCCATAGCTACCAGGTCTCTGAAGCCCTTGGCAAAGAGCAGGGTGGATTTCAGTGTGAGGAGGGATTGCCCTGGCCTGGCTGTGCTGCCCCTGAAGGACCTGCAAGGAGCAGAAGTGAGGTTGCTGAAGGAGCACCCCTTGGCCTTTGCTCCTCAGAGCCCCAGGCAGGGCCTTTGCAAAGGAAACAGAGACACACGGCCACCCCTGGCCAAAGGAGGCCTGGAGGATTGCACAGAGACCATCTCCTTCTCCTCCCCAGAGTGCTGTGGTCTCCGGGGTTGGTCTCCTGGGGGAGGACGAGAGGACGGCAGGCAGCAAGGACACTGCCAGCCTTGCCTGGTGACTGGTGGCACCAAAGGCCGCCAGCAGCCTCCACCAATTCTGTGGCCAGGGCAAGGTGAAATCTTGCCCCTGAAAACCCAGGGCAAGATCTCTGTTCATGGGATGGTGTGGGAGCAGGGTGCCAGGACCCCGCTGTCAGTACCGGGAAGGGCCTACCCACCAGGTAGCCCTCTGCTGACAAATATGAGGGATATATTGCTGACAAACATGAGGCCTGCACTCTTGGAGCTGATAGTGAACCCACGAGAAGGAAAAATAAGGCAAATTGGGGATGGAAGAGCACTGTACTCCTTTCTGTGGCAGAGCAGGAGCAAGAGGGTCTGGGTTGCCAGCCCGGAGAGAGCAGCCAGACACCCAGCCCTGCGGCCAGCTCAGGAAATGGTCTTTTCGTTAAGCAGCTCTACGCAGCTCTAATTAAATTACGGGATTAGAGCCATCTCATTCCTCACTCATCTGGTGCCAGGCGCTTGTTCCAAGGGAGTGCTCTCCATTAAAGGGAGAACTGCCTGCGTAGCACTCTGCGCGGTCTCATCAAGAGTCTGGGCCGCCACAGAGTCCTTTCTTTGTCACACTGCATTGCAGCCCAGGCTGTGTGACCGTGTCGCACTGCCTGGCAGTCACTTAGGCCCTGAGGCTCTTTGCTCCCTTGTTTCAGGTCCTCCAAGTAGTCCTCGATGGGTTTTCTGAGCAAAGCTCCCTTTGGTACTTGCAGCAAGGCAGTGCCTGGAGAGAACAAGTCAGATCATCAGTTTCCAAAAGCAAATTTGTATGTGGCCTCCATCTTCCTCTCCGCACTCTGGTCCTTGCCTGTGGGCTTTTCAGGATGTTTATGGGATGGATAATCCTCTTCTTGCTGCTCTTAGCTGTGCAAGTCTGCTCAGGGTGCACAGAGTCAGTCTGTGCATGGCAGCAAAATTCATGCTTTATGGGACGGTCTCACCCACGGATCTGAAGAGGACCAAGGCTTTGATCTGCACGATCACAGAATCATAGGGAGGTTTGGGTCGGCAGGGGCCTTAAAACCCACCCAATGCTACCCCTGCCATGAGCAGAGACCCCTCAACCAGAGCAGGCCCCATCCAGCCTGGCCTTGGGCACCCACAGCTCCTCTGGGCAGCCTGGGACAGGGCCTCATTGCCCTCAGAATGAGGAATTTCTTCCACAAACCTAATCTAAATCTAGTCTCTTTTAGTTGAAAGCCATTCCCCCTTGTCCTATCACTACAGTCCCTGATAAAGAAGAAAATACAGCTCAGAGCAGCCAGCGAAAGAGGAAGCTCCAGGATGCAAAACAGAGTTCCCTTGTGTTTTTGTTGCGTGCAGTTCTTGGTTATACACATTTCCCCTCCAAGGGCAGACCTCTCGTTACACTGTGCTTGGTGATGAGAGATTGGGGCGCTTTTTCAGCTTACATTTTGGCACCGTTTTGCTTCTGTTGCTTCACAAAGATGTTGCCAGGGAGCCTTGGTGCTGAAGGAAAGGCTCTTCTCCTTTCACCACGCTCCTTATGACATGGCCCCAGCTCTCGTGATGTAGCACCGTGCTTTGAGAAGCCGGGCAGACTGCAGCTCGGTGAAGCAAGATCCCTTGCCATGGCCCATGCACAGACAAGCAGGGACTGTCCTACACAGTGCTGCCTCTGTGCTCTCCAATTTATTAAGCATCAACACAGCAATAATTAAAATTTATTCCTTTTGCCAGGGGGAGATGCGTAGGTGATTGGATAATGAAAGCCTTTTGGGATAATTGGATGATAGACAGTGAACACTGCATGGATAGGGAGGAAAGGATGCAAAGACAGATGGAGTTTACAGGGAATAAAAGATGGTAAATTTGCTCAGAGGTTTTCTAGAGAATTTTTTTTTCAGTAATTTCTAAAGAAGTTGCTGGAAAAATAAGTGTTTTATACATCAATACAGAATATTTTGTTTTGAAGGTGGAGGGAATTCAACTTCATTGGCTCTGTTTGTGGCCATGTTGACTCCAAATGAGCTCTTTTGTGGTTTTCTTTCTCAAGTTCTCCTGCATGTGCCAGGTTCACTAGCCAGATACTGCCTCCTGTAAGGTCCTGCTCTCTGTCCCCAAATCTGTCCTCCTGCACCCAAACCTGGTGCAGGAGCTGCATGCACAGCCAGCACTGGGAGAGCTGGAGCTTTGGCTGGGATGAGGAAGGGGCACAGGGCACCCCAACAAAGAGTCCCAGAGGCAGCATGGAGGGTGGGCACTGGGCATCCTCCAGAAGCCACAGAAATTGGCAATTTGACAAATTCCTCCTCTACTTTGATTTAGAGACAAGTAGAAACAGGGCAGAGTGCCTGACTGGTGTTCTGGACAAACTGGACACTGCCCAAACAGCACGAGGACAGTACTGTTATCCTTACCTAGCCACTGAAGGGAAGCAGGCTGCATTTGGCATGGCAGAACGGGCACCAGCATGGTCCTTGTGAGGACTAATAGGAGGACTACATCTCTTTGAAAGATTTCTGTTCTGTTATTTGTGAATTCTTACTTCCCAGTGTCGCAGTCTGCAACGGCAAGGCCCATTGCTGCTGCAGAGAGCATACAAACCAGCTGCGGGGAAGGCCTGCAGGCTTCTTCCAGCTTTAGGAACTGGCTGTTTATTTGCAAGCCAGGCACTAAATTTCTCATGCCCTTTGCAATGTGGCATTTTCCCCTGCTGCTGACAGAGCATGGCCATTTTGGTGGGGTCACTGGAGTAGATAAAACTCAAGTTTTTCTTGCTCATTGCCTAGCATAAAACCCCATACAAGGTCTTCTTGGCAGTGCTGTTGCCGGAGGGTCCATAGCATGAATTTTACCTCAGCTGTCTCCTTCATTCAATCACTAAGCTGCATAATTACTTTTGGAGAAGTCATTTTTCCCATCTTCTGCCCTTTCTTGGCTGGAGGCATAGCATGTCTTAGTTTTAATATAGTGCCTTCTCTCCTAGACGAGCTCTCCATCTCTTCTGCTTTTGTGGAGTTAAGTAAAGCAGAGAAAATCCTGCCTGAAATGAAGCATCTTCCCACAAACTGAGTTCATCCCTCAAAATATTCAGACCTCAGCTGGATACAGCCCTGAGCAATCGGATCTGGCTGGACCTGCTTCAAGCAGGGGTTTGGACCTGTGGCCTCCAGAAGTCCTTTCAAACTAAATCACTCGAGCTCTGTCATTCCTGCCTCCTGCAGAGCCACTTTGCTCCCCTTTTTGCCCTCTCCTCTGCTCTGTCAGTCCTTGGCAGTGACCCGAATCAAGGTGAAACCCTTTGCCCAACTGCCTGGTGTGGGTGAGGGCATCCCCCCAGTGCTGCTGAGCCTCTGATCACGGCTGCCCTGCACGCAGGGTGCACGAGGGGAGCCTTCAGGCTTCACAGCCTGGACCAAATATTTACCCTCTGCACGGTGTGTCACAGGCAATTAAGGTAGCTGAGCTGAAAGCGGAGTGATGAGAGAAGCTGTTTGCTTTTCAAACCGGACCAGCAAGTGCCTATTAAATTACCTGAATTTCAGATATTATTTAGCCGTAAATCTTGTTAACAGTGTTCCACAGTATGGAGATGTGAAGGAAGGGAAATAAAAGGAAACAAAGTGAGGAGGGGATATTTTGGGAATGGTAAAGAAGAAAGGAGGCGAATGCTGGCTGATGGCTTAGGAAGCGGTTCGCAGCTGATGGTTTTATAGGAAAGGCTTCAGCTCCATGAGGAAATCAGCTGGAACAGGCCTGGCAGGATAGCTCTCCACGTGAGAGCTCCTCTTGCAGAATACCAATGAGCTGAATCCAAAACAAAGTGGTCAGAAGAAGCTGTTTCAGGCAATTTCCCTGCACCGGGGCAGGAGCGGGGAGGTGGAGGGAGCACGCTCTCCTCGGAGAAGAGGAGCAATCTGGAAAGTTTAAAGCCAGCTATTCATGCTAGTTGTCCTTTGTGTCAGAATAGCTGGGGTTTCTTTTTAATTTGTTGCTTTGCTTGCTCTGTTGCCCTACTTACTGTATGGAGACTGACCGCAGTGGGTATAAAATAATCTTAGGGTTTGGAGGGTGTACATTTTGTTAACTTGAGGAGAAAGAATCCAGATCAGCTACCTTATGCCCCACTTGGAAAGTGCACTGAGGAAGGCTTTGGGAAGGACTGGAAGCAATGAGAAAGAGAAAAGCACTGTTTGCAGAGGGCTGCCGGTTTTGCAAGCTGTCCGTGCCTGCTCTGGGGCTCTCCCAGGTGTGGCCTTTTGCTGGCAGCCAGAAACAATTAACTAGCAAATGGAGTGAGGACAGAGGCTAGCCCGAATTACTGCCTCACAGGTGGATGCCCCTGGCCCTTCTGTTCCCCAGCCTGAAGGATTTGGCTCTGGGTTTATCCGGTGTGCACACCAGCCCCTGCTACACCCCTGCTATGCGGGGTGTGAAGCAAAAGCACTGCTCCTATGGGCAGGGGTGGCTGCAAGGCCATCACACCGGCCAGCTGGCAGGCAGCAGCGTTACAGACATCCCCTGCTTTTGTTGCTAAATTTTGCCACGAGTTCAGCTGGCTCTTGCGGGAGGAGCCCGGCCGGGTGGTTTCTGTGCTCAGCGATGGGCAGCACGCCACGCGCCAAGCCGTCTCGCTGCCAGGAGCAGCAGGTCCTGGCAAGGGGCTGGGGCACGGCCGCGCTTCCCGGCAGCCAGGCGCTGCGGCAGCCTCCAGCCTGCCCTCCTCACAGCATCGCCTCCTGCGTGCGCCTTCTCCCTCCCCAGGCGCCGGCTGATGATGAGAGAAATCGCACCTCGGGCATGCTGTTTCCCAAGAAGCGTGGGAAGAAGGTTTTGCAGACAGCGAGGCAGTGCCCTGAGACATGTTTCCAGCTCCCCACTGTTGCTTGCCAGCGATGCGGCTGCCCCGCAAAGCTGCCACCTCAGGTGGCGTTTTGCCCAGGTCGCAGAGGTCCCACATCATCACCCCTTTTCGCTCCATCACGCCTTCTGACAGGCAGGGTTTGAAGCCTGCGACAAGAGCGTGGGCCCCGTGCTGTCAGCACTCAGCTGGTGTTTCCCTCTCCGATGGCCCCGGGCTGAGAGATTGGGTCCTTCCCATCCATGCAATGCAAAGAGGATTTCAAAAGCCTGCTTGCAGCTCCAGCCCAGGCTTTGCAAGGGAACTGCCAGGATACATCCAGCCAGGCCAGGAGAGTACCTGGCCATGGCAGCCGGGAGTCTTTTAAACAAACTAGGATGATTCTCACATCCATCCTGGCCATCTGTGTCGTGCAGGACATGGGTATCAGTCCAGGGCATTGTTAAGCAGTGCCATGGCAGCCCTTTGGTTCTGGTTATCAGCTGGTGACAAGGGCTGATGGCAGGAGGAAAGCCAGGGTTTAAAAGCTGTGATCTGAACCCTGCACTGCTGTTTGTTTCTGGGTCACGCATGAGGCCATGCAGAGCTTATTTTCGGATTCTGGCTTAAAGATGGCTGAAATCTGAATCAGTTTATACCTGGGGAAGCCACAGATCATGGCAGTGACAGCTCCTACTCTGGAGGAATTTGGGGGAGGTAGCAGAGGAGAGAGGGTGATCTTTAAGGTCCCTTCCAACCCGAGATGTTCTGTGATTCTAGCTTGCACTTGATTTTTCTTTCCAGGTGTAGTGAAATTTCACAGAGAC